CACTCCCACCAGCAGTGGAGCAGGGTTCCTCTTTCCCTACAGCCCCACCAGCATTTGTTATCGGTTGATTTCATGATAGCAGCCATTCTTTCTGGAGTGAAGTGGAATCTCAGCGTTGTTTTCATTCACATCTCTCAAATGACCCTGCTGTTAGTTTTTTGACGAATCTCCATATCGACTTAGATGATGGATGTCTGTACTTACATCCCTAACCAACAATGTACAAGTGTTCCTTTCCCCCCACATCTTTACCAGCATTTTTTTTCAGTATTCTTGGTGATAGGCATTCTGACTGAATAAGATGAAATCTCAATGTAGTTTTGATTGGCATTTTCCTAGTGGTTAAAGATATCGAACGCTTTATTATATGATTATTGGCCATTTATGTTTCTTTTCTTTTTTTTTGTTTCTTCTTTTAAAGATTGTCTGCTCAGTTCATTTGCCCATTTTGGATTGGATTATTGGTTCTTTTATTGTTTTTGAGTTTTTTATATATTTGAAATATTAATCCTCTTTCAGAAGAGTAGCTGGAAAAGATTTCTCCCCCATTCTGCAGTCCATCTCTTCATTATGTCGTCTTTTTTTGTTGCGCTGAAGCTTTTTGATTTGATACAGTTCTATGTGTCGATTCTTATTATTTCCTGAACTAGTGAAACCCTATGGAGGAAGTCATTGTCTGCCTGTAACTTCAAGTATTTTACTTTTGTTTTCTATTAGCACTTTCAGAATTTCAGATCTTATATTTAGGTCTTCAGTCCACTTTGAGTTGATTTTTGTACAAGGCAAGAGATGAGGATTGTTTCAGTTGTATATCAGTAAGCAGTTTTCTCAGAACCGTTTGTTAAAGAAGCTCTTTTCTCCAATATATATTTTAGGTTCCTTTGTCAAAAATCAGATGACTGTAGCTGTTAGGTTTATTTCTGTTTCCTCTATTCTATGATGCTGATATACATGTCTACTCTTATGCTCATGCCATGCTGTTTTTGTTACTGTGGCTCCATAGTATATTTTGAAATCAGGTGTTGTGATGCCTTCATCATTGTTCTTTTTTGCTCAAGATTGCTTTGGCTATTCTGGGTCACTTGTATTTCCATATGAATTTTAGTATTTTTTTTTCTGGTTTTGTAAAGGATGTCATTGGTATTTTGATGAGGATTGCAGTGAATCTGTAGATCATTTCCAGTGATATGGCTATTTAAACAGTATTAATTCTGCCAATCTGAGAATGTAGAAGGTCTTTCCATTTTCTTGTGTCTACAGTTTCTTTCTTCTGTATTCTGTAATTTCCATTGTAGAGGTCTTTGGCATCCTTGGTTAGTTTAATTCCTAGGCATTTTATTTTATTTTTTTGATGCTATTGTGAAGGAAATTATTTTATTGATTCTTTTAGAGCTAGTTCATATATAAAGAAGCTATTGATTTTTGTATGTATGTTGATTATCTTGCCACTTTGCTTATTTATCAGATCTAAGAGTCTTTTCTTGGAATCTTTAGGGTCATTTAAATATAGGATAAAATCATCTACAAATAAGGAAAATTTGACTTCTTCATTCCTATTTGTATCTGTTGTGGCTTAAACCTAAAGCACTCTCCAAAAGTCTCATGTGAGTTGGACTTTGAGAATGTGATTGCCTCTCTCTCTCTCTCTCTCTCTCTCTCTCTCTCTCTCTCTCCATCTGTCTTTCTGTCTTTCTGTCTTTGCCTTTGTCTTTTTTTGGATTATAGGGCTAAGAGTTGAGCAATATTATTTATCTTTTCAAAGAACTGTTTCATTGACCCTTTGTTCTTTTAGTCTCTAGTTCATTGATTTCAGCTCTGATTTTTATTATTTATTTCCTTCAATTGAGCATCATTTTAATTTGTTTTTTTTAGACCTTAAAATGTTTCATTAGGCTATTTGAGATCTCTCTCATGTTTTAAAAATATAAGCACTCATAGCTATAACTTTCCCTCTTAGCACTGCCTTTGTTGTAATCCAGATTCTGATATTTTTTTTGTTTCATTTTCATTTGATTCTAGGAATTTTTAAAATTTTCACCCAATTTTCTTAATGATCCACTGATTGTTCAAAAGTGAATTGTTAAATCTCCAAGTGTTTGTGTAGTTTCTCTTGCTCTTGGTTTCTAGTTTCATAGCATTGTGATATAAGAAGCAAGAAATTATTTCAGTTTTTTTGTGTTTGTGAACACTTGCTTTATGGCCTAAAATATGAGGTATTTTAGCGAAAATTACATAACTTTCTGTGGCTTAAAAGAATGTTGTGTAATTTGACTGATGATTTCTTTGTTTTTTTCTTTTCTGGACCACCTATCTGTTGGTGAGAGTGAGTATTGAAATTATCCACTATTATTTTTTTTCACTTTATTAAATTCTTTTATTGGTACATTGTAAATATACAACACAATTACATTTCTCATCGGGAATTGTACCTTTACATAATGCATCTTGGTTCTTATTTTTTCCCCATTCCTAGCCCTCCCTTC